AATTTGTTATTACTTACAGGTGTTTTTTAATAAATTTCTAACAAATTTTGGTACAGATTCACGCCGAACTTTGTATTTTATAATGTGTAAAAATTTGTAAATATGTAGTCAGATTATGTTCTTGCTAAATTGTAAATGCAATTTATAAAAAGTACTTGAAAAAAAACATTCGAAAAAAATTACACAAAACCCCCGTTATTTTTACCCCCAATAAAACACACATTACCCCCAAAAACACCACATTTTCCGAACTCTACACCCAACAGTTTAATATCCGTCTGAACAAATGTGCTGTGGTAGACGTTTCGTTCCATCCATACATTTCTATCTCATAGAGAACAATGGGATAAACAATGTGGATATGCCAGCAGGGATCATCTCTTTCCTCGCAGCCTTTTAGGTTTAACTCTCCTTGAGAGGACGAAGAACGGGAGCATATTGGGCCATAAAACGAGCCTCGTAAAATAAAATCAGCCTTTTCCACCAGAAACAGAACACTGGCTGCTCGCCTTCTTTCATTTCATTTCATTCTTCTTCACTTCACACTTTCCACTAAAATTTGGTGTTGATAAGTTCCCCGAGTCATCATCACGGTATAACTTTTATCTGCGTAAATATGAAATGCGATGTGGGGGAGGGAGACACGCTTAATGTAATAATTTTGAAAGTGCGGGTTTGAAATTTAAGGGAAATTCATTCTCAGAAACTTTAGGAAATTTTGAAATGAGGTTTCAACAATAAATAGAGGAAATTCATTCAAATTTAACAAATTTTGGGACAGATTTACGCCGGAAATTTTTATTTTATAATTTGTAATTCTTAAAAAAAGTAGTCAGATAGATAGGTCGATGGTTTCTTCTAAATCTAAATTTTTCTGGATTACAAATGTAATTTTTAAAAGGTAAATAATTTACCTTTTAAAAATAATTCGATTTACCGTAAATTGAATTATTGCATAGCTTAGAAATTTGGAGACTTTTACCTGTTTTACGTATATTTAAAAATAAAAATAAAAATGTTGGTACACATTAACGACAAATTTTATATCTACGTAAATTTTAGATTAGTATAAAATAAAATTAGGTCCCAGGTACTCTACTGATCCAGAAACAAAATAATGGTTCAAATTAATAAAGTTACAAATTTTACAGTGTCGCATTCCCGCAGTCTTTGTAAAATCCATAAATCCCATAAACTTTTGCAAAATTTTACAAATATTTCTCAGAAAAATTAGCTTCCAATTTTTTTGTAAACTTGCTCAGATCAAGGGCGTTTCTTTATTTTGTAAAAGTTTCTAAAATTATTTTACAAAACCTACGAATTTTACAAAGTTACCAAGGCCTGCGTGAATTTCCTCAATATTTTAAAAAATAATTTGGTCCCCAATTTCACAAATTTATATCGAAAATTTCCCCACACATTGTTAAGAGTGTATTTACATTTGCATGTATATTTTCTCCACCCACGGGGTCGATAAGCGGGGAGAAAGTCTACACTGCTTATCTTCTCCCGTACTTTCTCTTTCGCTCCCCTCTGAAAACGGAAGCTGGTGCAATTTGTATAGAAATAAATGAAAAAAAACTTTTTGAATTAGGAGCAGCATTCCTCTCGCTCGTCGGTCGGAGTAGTTGTTGCTCTCTGAAAGTGAAGTAAAGTTGGACTTATTCCAGCCGAGGAGAAACTTTGTTGGGAGATCACAATATTATTTTCTTCCCTGGCACAAAACCAGAGACCGGGTGCGGGTGGTGGTGGGGACGGTGCAGGAAGGATGGGGTGGGATTGAGGAGTCTTATTCTTCAAGTGGGTATTAGGGTTGTACGAGGTTTTTGTGAAAAAGGAGGCATTTATGGCAGGTGCCAGATTTGGCATATTTTTAGGGTTTTTTTATGGTGGACAAAATACACTTGCAAGAAATGTGGAAAAATTGCAAGAAATCAAACACAAATTGACCAGAGATCTTATTCTTCACGTTTTATGGAGGCATTTATGGCATTACGCCCGGCTTGCCATATTTCCAATCTTTTTTGCGTAAAAAATACGCTGGAAATCAAACATTGGCTACTTTTCCCTTAAAAATCGATTTGAGGTCAAGCGAGTGGAGTTGTAAATGATTATGGTCAGGGAGGCATTTACGACATGCCTAATTTGCCCCTTTTTCAGAATTTTTGTAAAATTTATGTCCCATAAGCAAATTTTGTAAGTAACGTTCATGTCAAAATGATATATATTTAAATATATTCATTCACAGAATTTGTACTGTAATAGTAAAAACAGTTAGTAAGCTTATCACCTGATTTTATGCTTGTACAAATTTAAACTTAAATAAATACAAGTTTCGTCGTTAAAATATACCGAAATTTTTAAAAATTGATAGAATAGGAAGTTAAAACTCTTATAAAACATATATTTAGTTGATTAAAATAAAATTTCAACGTTTGCAACCTCAGAAATGCTTCTAACTCTATAAATTCTAGTTTCACTACATTTCAAAAATTTCTTTCAATTAAATATTTTCATCCCCACGACATTTTTTAGTACAAAAAATTGCAATTTTAATTCATGATATCAACGCTGAACAAAGCAGATCTGGTTTTACTTTTTTATGAAATTGAACTTACATAAATACAAATTTCGTCGTTAAAGTGTACTAAAATTGTAAAAAATAAATGACAAATAGTTAAAACTATTTTTAGCCGTTGTGGTACAAATAAAATTCCAATTTTTAATTCCAATTCCAAATTTGAAACTTGAGAATTTTTCAAAAATTTTCTACACTTTATGGATAAATTTCATTCTCTTTTTAATTTTAATTTTCTGTTAATTATTTTCATGCATAAAATATCAGGCACATATTGGTATATATTTGTGTGCTTTAAATTCACAAAATAACCACGCCCTGCACCAACTTTCTTGTCAAACTTCCTCAAATGTCTGGCAATAATTTTCACCCCCAGATTTAACTTTTATGAAAAATTGTGCAAAATTCAAATCCGTAAGTACCATGCCAAAAATTCATTGTCTTGTCAAAATTGTCCAAAATTCCTGTCAATAATTTCCATATACTGTCCAACTAGCTCTCACCCTACTCCAAATTTCTGCCAAATCGGGCCACATCCTTTACACCCACCCTGCCTCGTCCTTTTTAGGGTGGATACGATATGGGTGCGAGCACTTTAGGAGAGAAAGAGGGCCGGATTGTGTAAGTCGTTGTCTGCAAGATGGGACAAGAATGGATCCATGGACGAGAGACGACGAGGCATGAAATGCACGTCTTTTCTTCCTCCCGATTTTTTTACGACGACGACGAGACGAAAAAGAAACTTAGTTTTTCCATGAGGAAAAAAAGAAACCGATTTTTTCCTAGAAAGCTTAAAGGCTTGTCGTTAAATTTAGGAATTTTCTTTTTCGGGGGAGAAAGCAAGTTGACAAAATTAAATGTGATGAGGAGCGAATTTGGAAAATAATTTGGATTTTTTTTCGTTTTCAATAAGAGGAAAAGTATTGGGGGGATTCACGTCAATTTTGTGTACATATTTTGTACACTTTTTTTATTAGCTGTGTACTGTAAATACGAAATAAGGCCACGTCGTGATCTAGGTTTGTTTATGATAGATTTTGTAAACTGAGATTGCTTCGTAATTTTTGTAAACGAGTATCTCTATTTCCTAAGCTTTTTTACACGAATTGAGGGAATTTTTACGCCATTTGTTAACTATTGGAGTACAAATTTTCACAAAATTTTGAAAAACGGGCATCATCTTTTTGCCAATTTTGCAAGTTTTTTTCCACGAATTAAGGGAATTTAAAAATTTATGTACAAGTATTTTTCACGCGGATTAAAATTTCTAGTTAAATAAAATTCCATCCAATTTTTAACCTCCCATTGGAAAGTTTCCAATCCCCTTAAAACCTTTTCCCTTTTCCCTTTTTTATTAACTCTTACCAACCTCCCTCCCTCCCTTCTCCTTCCGCCAAGGTCACCCAAAGGTCACACCCAGGTCATCTCCCTGTCTACCTCGTCTCTCTCTCTCTCTCTTTTCCCATATCAATAAGTAGGTCACCCTCCGACACGATCTCTCCTCTAAACTATGATGTCAGTCTCTCTCTCTCTCTCTCCTTTATTTTCCATACATCCATCCATCGCTCCCACCATACCACCACCGACCAAGCTATGTTCTCAGGACCCAGTTGACTTTTAGCTGCTGGCTGGAGGGTTATTTATGGGCCGAGAGGGTAATAAAATTTATTGCCAGGATTTATTATCCTTGGCCATTTGGTCGGTCTTCCTGCTCTGCGCTTAATGTGTAGTGTACAAGTAAAATACATGGGCTGCCTCCTTTCTCCATCCGCATCCTCGCATCCTCAGTCCACACTCAGTGTCTGCACAGATCACACACGAAAAGGACGAGCCCTTCTTCTTCTTCTTCGCCTCACAATTTTGTGCAAGAATTCAAAAACGCTTCCAAAGCGCAACGTAACGACTTTCAGTCCAGGCTTGACGATGGCGACGATCAAACTGTCTCCGTCCCAGGGAACGGAGCAGTTTTAGTTGCGAAGTGGTGTGGTGGGTGAAAGTAGCAAGTTTCTGTGTGTTCGGGTGAGAATTTTGTGTGTGTGTGTGTATCTAAATTGTTACGTATGTACGGACGGATGGACGACGAGGTACCCTTTTTCTCGAGTGATTGACAGGGGCCCAGCCCCACAAAGAGAGAGAGAGAGAGATGTGAATACGCAACGGCGGAATAATGGAGTCCAGGAGAGAGAGGAGAGGAAGAAGATGGTGATGGCTGCTGGATTGGATTTTGGAAGTGGAACTGGAAAACTGCATCTGCATCTGGTCGTGGTGGTGATGATGGTGATGGCGGAGGAGGAGGGGGGAAAATTGGGGGAATTTTCGGCCGGAAATTTTGGGACTAAGGGGATCGTTGATGGAAACTGCATCTGAATCTGTGGCGATGATGATGGCGGCGGAGGAGGAGGGGGGAAATTATGGGGTGGAAATTTTCTTCGGGAATTTTCTTGGGGAATTTGGGGGAATTTCTGGGAATTTTTGGGATTTTTTTTTTCGGGAATTTTGGACCAAGGTGAACAGAATCTACGTAAGTAAAGTTGTGATGATTAATTTTCTGCATCGTAGACATGACCCGCATTAAAGCGGATGCTGTGAAACTGCATCTGCATCTATGAACATGATAATGATGATGGCTGACTGAGGTGGATTAGGAAAATTCTGGGGTGGAAATATGTATATTTCCTGGAATTTTTGAGACCAAGGTGAACGTAGCTCGCGTAATAACGGAATGGAATGTAAGTAAGTAAAGTAGTCATGATTAATTTTCTGGATGGTAGACATGACCCATTAAAGAGGAGGAAGGAAGGAACTAGTGGCCTATTTTGTGTCGTGGCGGTGGTGGTGGCCGTGATGCTGAAATAAAGACGGTCGGTGAGTGAGATGGATGCGTATCATCCATCAATCTTAAGGAGAAGTGAAGGCGTCGCAGTGTAGTCTTTTGTACCAGTTGGACTTGAATGCAATTCTTGTAAGTAAATGCGATCCGATGCAACTGTCACAATAGTGCAGGAGGAGATGATCGTTATAAATGAGTGAGTGAGTGGGTAAGGTGATGATCTTGGGATAAGGTGCAGATTTGTGGGGGATTTTTTTTAGAGACAGGAAAATATGCATGGATGCTTTGAGGTGAAAAAATATGGAGATTTTTGGGGTTAATTTGACAGGAATTTCGAAATTTTGGTGGGGTTTTTTAGGCGAATTTTTGGCAAATTTTGGTTGTTTAATTGACAGATTTTGTTAAATTTGGTAAATAAATATTGGTAGTTTTCTAGCTAAATTTTTGGAAATTTGGACAAATATTGTTAGTCCCATGTCTCATGTCAAAATTTTTTGAAAATTTCTCGTAAACATTAACAGCTTTCCCCTCAAATTATCAAATCCTACTCAAATTTACCCTTGTTACTCCCAAATTTTATACCCAACTTCCACCTACTTCCGGTCCGGTCTCACCCGCGGGTAGGAAGGAAGTAGCAAAAATACCGAATATTTCTCTACTACATTTCATTTCATATCGAGAAAGAAAAACAGTACGCTTTGGCCAATCTGGTTTTTGTTCCGTGTTACATAAAATGAAAAGACGACTGAAAATAAATATGAACAAAAACAAGGTCTCTCTCTATACATACATACAATCTACACGATGATCGAGCCACACATAACATCTGCCACCATAAATACGTACGTATGACTACCAGGCATTACAAAATGTATGTACGAATACAGCTAATCCAACCACCAAACCAAACCGAATGAACAAAACCTTGGTTGGTCGTCCCCTACCGAAATGAAAACCACTTTTGTTCTTTTTTTTCATATTGACAAAATTTTGTATCAACCATATGCGATCTGACTGATCAGATCAGGGATCACTTTTCGAATAAAAATGGTGCATTTTCTCAATTTTTTTTGACAATTTTTAATATGAAAGTTATGCGTCAAATTGGAGCATGCGTAAATTTTTAGATTTTAAGTTAATGTAGTTAATTTTATCCCTACAAATTTCCACAAAGATTACGAAAGAAACCCATGCTAAAAATAAGTTTTTATAAACAAATTTACTCAAAAAAACGATTAGAAATCCAGCTACAATTACAAATCTGTCAAAAATTTTAGCAGATTTCGACCCTCCAGTTTGTCATTTTGCACCATTTTTAAACTTTGTAATTCCACAAAGTTTAATTCAATCACAAAGTTTATTAGTCGAATATTTGTGGACTGGACATGCAACAAACAACTTGATTGAAACAAATCTTCTGTGTCTTCAAATATTATATTTCTATCAAAATATATTAATATGGCATCCAAGTTTAACATTTTATTTAGTTATTCAAGCTGCCAGGTCACGAAATAATTCACGAAATAAAAAATTATAAGAGATTATTTATAAAATTGTACCTATCAACTTTATAATTTCATTGTCAAAATGATCCTGAAATATTATAAAACGGGTGTTTTTGTAAAGCAGTAAAATCCAAAAAATTTAAACATCACAATTTCCCAAATCCCCCAAAAAACTGTCTTTTAACAGGTTGTCCAAGTAAATAAACAAATAAGTAACTAAATAAACAGCATCTTTATTATTTTGCCCCTTCTTTTATCCATTCCCGTCATTCCTAAATAAACGGCTACCTGTTAGCACCACCACCTTTCTTTCTTTCCCTTTATCCGTATATATATGAAAATGAGTCGGGGAAAGTGGTAGGTAAAGTAGGACCGATTTATTTTCCTTCGGAATAGTGCCATACTTTTGCAAAGTTTGAGGTCTCGTAGGTAGTCTCATAGTCGATGGATGGATGGATAATAAGTTGGGAGGGGATTTTCCGTGTAGAGTGAGCTGTCTGATCGTCTCGTAGTGTTGGCAGTTTTCGGTGGTCGTTGTTGGTTGGGGAGGGAGTTGCCCGGACCGGGTGTTGCTGAGAAAATATCGATCCGAAAACTTTCATCGGGTGCCGAGGGCTCTCTCTCACACCACTTTCTCTTCTCTCTTCTCTTTCGCTTGCTCCCCTCCTCGCAGAATAAATAAATAATCGAGTCCTGTTTGCTCCTGCTGAGCTGGAGAAACAGCAGCTAAGCTACGGATGGACGGAGGGTATAGTTTTAGGAGGAGGAGGAAGAGAGCGAATATTATTGAGTGTGAAGGGGGACGTGCAGAATGGGTGGGGGTCAGTCAAGAGTCACTTGGAGGGAAGGTGCGATGGGGGTGAGGGAAAATAGGGGTGAGATGACATTTTGTTTAGGGGGGTCTGATTTGCTGCTGCTGCTAGTTTTAGGAGGAGGGTGGACTTCGTGTTAAGGGGGATGTGCAGATAAGGTGGGGGTCAAAGGTCATTTGTTGGGGCCAGTTGAAGGATTTTGCGATGGATTGAGGGAAAATAGGGATAAGATGACATTTCGCTTAAACGAGTCCTGTTTGTTGCTGCTGCTGTTGCGAGGGGCATTGTTTTAGGAGGAGGAGAAGGACTTCGTGTTATGTGAGACGTACAGAAAGGGTGCGGGGTCAAGGGTCACTTGCAGGGTAATTAGCGATGGGTTGGACAAAGAGGAAAAAACAGAGATGAGATGACATTTCCATTAAACAAGTCCTATTTTAATATATTGTGCTGCTACTTCTAGTTTTAGGAGGAGACCGTACTCCGTTTTGTTGTTAAGTAGGGGGACCTGCAGAAAGGATGAGTTTTTGATGAAGGAACTTGAGGGGTTACTTTGTCCGGGCCGGAAAAAGAGATGCGATAACATTTGGTCATTGAAGGGATTAACGTTAATTAAATCTTGATTATTTTCATGGTCTATTTCTTGTATGGGAAATGAGCTCTAGTTCCTTCTTTAAGCTGGAATTTTAAGATGAGATGAAAATTAGGTTTGATAAGCTAAGTCTAACTGCTGTTTTGCATACAAAATTAATTCATGGGAGGATTAGATAAATTAAGCCAAAGTAAAATTGGGATATCTTTCAGTTAGAAGAAATTTTAGGGGATGCAAATTATAGATCGACCAAGAAGATTTCTACTTTTTTTGGAATATAAGGTAATTTTTGTGTATGGAATGAATTATATTATGTATAACGAGTAATATAAGTAAGCAAAAATAAAATTGGGAGTTTTTCCAGTGGAGAAATATTTTTGAAAAAAAATCAAAATTATACCCAAATGCAACAACACCTATTTTTCATATATTCAAAATTTAAACTATGAAAAAAATTCTTAACTGTAAAACTGTGAGACTATAAAAGGACAAAAAAATATATAATTTTAGAAATCAAAATCAAAATTGAACCAAAAAATGCAACAATACCTATTTTTCATAAATTCATATTTTACACTAAGAAAAAAATCATACGGCGGTGAAATCATACACAAAAAATATATACATTCAGACATATTTCTTGAAATATTTCTTAAAAAATAAAATTCTTGATACAAAGCGAAATATGAATGACATCATTTTGCTGAGTCTGCAATTTTTTTTGTCCAGTAAAGAAAAATATGATTGCTTCTCTGGTTTCGTCAAGATTTAAGATTAATTCTCCAGTTAAATAAGATGTGAAACGATCCAAGGTCTCAACGCGTTCTCGGATCCCGTAGTGAATTTCGTTTCGTGAGTATTAATTATACAAGAGAAGATTAAACGAATGGGTACCTGACCGAAGAGATGTGGCCAATTTTGAGAGAATTTTTACCATAAATTCCTTGGGGGATGAGTCTTATATAAAGTTGTTAAGTCGACATGGCATGCAAATTTTTGTAAACCTGCTCTGATCAAGGGCGTCTCTTTATTTTGTAAAAGTTTGTAAAATTATTTTACAAACTTATCGATTTTACAAAGTTACCAAGGACTGCGTGAATTGCTTCGTTATCAAAAATCAGCACAATTTTGAAAGTTTGTTAAAAATTGAAAGGAAATCTGACTGAAATGAAAGTCAAAAATTGATTTTTAAGAAAATGCAGTATAATTTTAATCACGTAGGTATGTAAAAGTCACTATTTTTTTAATCAACAGACTATAGCCAAATTCCTTTACAGACATTTTGAACGCGAAAATGAATACCAGGAATTTTTGTGCATACCAAAAGTTTTCTGACTACTTGCTCGGACAGTATTTAAATTCGGGGCAAATATGGCATGCCATAAATTCTGTATTGCAACGAAACCTTCACCCTTTGACACTAAAATCGGTCACATCCTTAATGTCCACTCCCCCCCCCCCCCATCGCTAATATAATACCTAATACTTCCTCTAATTCTTCAAAATTTAACACGCTGGATGCAAAATCACATTACACAAATTCATTTTTTTCCTCCTTGTTAACCTTAAATGAAATGAAATAAAATCGTGTCTTTAACACGTCGTCGAAATAAATGTCTAACGTAACAAGACATTAAAATTTAACTGCTTAACTGAAACCCTAAACCCAACTAACTAACTGACCCAGGAGTTAAGGAGCCCATTAAATAATTAACACATACATACATAAAATCGTGTAACATGCCATTTAGTAAAACAAATACATATCTAATCCCGTCTCATATTTCTGCCTATTTTGGACTTAAATTCTACCAACGTTTTAATTATTTTTGCAGGCAGACTGGAAAATTACTTGGCTCATCCTCAGTCCAGGCTGGAAATTGGGAGGACGTAGTGAAGTTCCGTCGTCCGAAAATCGGGAAATTATGTCCTACATCTACCCTGTAGATCCGAATTTGTCTGAAATCTCAGACTCCCTAACAAATTCGGTTCTAGAGAGGTTTGTGTGGGCAATACTTGGCAACGAGACAACCAACCATTTTGTGACCCTTTGGATCTGTGTGATTCGGCCGCATCCCAAATAACGACCCAACCCTCACGAGAGAACAAAACAAGAGAGTAGGTACCCTTGGCGAGCTGTAAGAAAAGTGCACCTTTTTTCTTCTCCCTTTAGAAATTGAAACTATTTCGTATTTATTTCTTGTACTCGTTAAAATGAGAAATGGTTAGTTTTTTTTCTTCATTTTTCTTTTACTTGATGGACAGGAGGAGAATCTCGGGTTTACAAAGTTACAAATCCATAGGCAGGCAGGCAGGGTTCCCTTTTTGTTCGGTTATGCAATCCTTACTGGGTTTGGGAAGGTTATTGTGCAGCGTCATTTTTAGGGTGGGATGTTATTTTACGGTATGTACTGTACTGCCCGGGGCAAGGATGAAGTCGGGGTCGTGATGGAGAATTGAATGACGAGGAGATATATTTGATTTGATTTGTTGAAGAGAAATGGTTGCATTTTTGTGCAAAATTATTATCGGGATGGGTCGGAAATTTTGGAGGCTTGAATTTTGTGGGAGAATAATTTAGAATTGTTTTTTGTACAGGTTTGATATCAATTTTAGCCAAATTTTGAAAATTTAGTTGAATTGCTTCCAGAGTTTTTGTACGATTATTTCAGTTTTGAGAAAATTTAACGACGATTGAGTGTAATTTTGATGGACATTAATCTATTTATTAAATCTAGGTCAGGAGCAGTTGATAATTTAATGGGTACTTATTCAGGCCTTGTTTTTATGGGGGGGGAGATAATTTAGAATTGTTTTTTTATAGAAATTTAATATAAATTAAAGGAAACTTTTGAAAATTTAGTAAGATTTTTGTTTTGCCCAATGTGTTTTTGTATTCATGAATTTTAGAAAAAATGTGTAAAGTTGGAACGCCGATTGAGTGCAATTTTGATTTTCAAATAGATTTGTTAAACCCAGATCGCAGACACATGTATGAAAAATATCTTGGTGACAATTAAGCATCCAAATTTTTGGGGTTAAGTCAATTTTTGCACAAATTGAAAATTTCTTAATGGTATTTTGACACGTTCAAAATGAATTGTTAAAACTAGATTCGTGTCATTGGCATAGCAGGGAAAAATGTGTTTATTTGCAAGAAATTATTACATTTTTATGCAAAATTATTATGGGGATAATAATTTCGCAATTTGGTGGTTTTATTTATTCGGGCCTTATTTTTTCATGGGGGGAATAATTTATACCCATTTTGTAGAAATTAGATGTAGATTTTTGACGGAAAATTTGGTGACAATGTTTTTCAGGCTATTTTTTATAGGTATGCTATATTAATGAATATTTCAATTTTATGAAAAATTGTAAAATTAAAACATCGATTGAGTGTAATTTTAAAATATTAAAATTGAACACGTATAAAATCTAGGTTTTCGGATTATACTGTGAATCTTGGTGAAAAAGAGGCATCAGAATTTTTGTGGGATGTGAAATGCTTAATCAAATTTTTGCATAAACAGTAAAATTTTATGGGTATTTTAAAATGAATTATTAAAACTAGATGAGCACATCTCATTGAGATTAAAGCTTGATTTCCAGTGATTTGAAAATCAGTGAAAACCAAATTTTTGTAAAACTTGGTTACACAAAGATGTATGATCGAATTGTCTTATTTTTTGTAAATATTATTTTTAAATGAATTATTGTAAATCTGTTGTAAATCGCATTTAGTTTGTTGTATTAGAAAATGCGTACGAATTATGCTTGTTTTTTTTTGGGTAGGAAATAATTTAGGTTTTTTTTGCAGAGACTTGGAAACTCAAATCGAAATTTAAATTTGAAATTTGAACCAGAAATTTGAAGTCGGTTGAGTTTATTTATTTTGGAATATTTACATGTAACAATGCAATTAGATTTTTTACATTGAATGTAATAAATAGATTTTTTGAAATGTTTCAGTTTTCCATCCAAGGCCGCTCAGGAAATATTCGAAAATATTTAAAGTTCCGGAAAAGTTGATTTTGAATATGAACATGATAAAGGAACAATCTGAGATCAAGAAAAATTGGAGTTTTAGTGATGGTTTTGAAATACTTCCATTTATAACCTGATCGTAAAATACTCTGGTAATATTTGTAAAAGTTGCAAATATTTGTAACTGTACGGATTTTACAGGGTTACAACTATTGTCTCCAACTCATTTTAAATGGATTATGGTACAATAATTGTTGTAAACTTTAGCCGTATTTTGTATGTGCTAAACTATTGAAAACTGCTTTGTAACAATTTGCTATCAATTGCTTGCAAGTTTTGTACCTAACCTAGTGAAAATTCAGTACCAATTTTTTGTAGAATGTCATTTTTCCAAGGAATATTTAAATTATTGCCAAAATTTTCAGCTAAATGTAAAATGGGAACGCCGTGAGAGTTTAATAAGATATAATTGGTAATTTTCTTCTAATTAGATCTGGCGTCTATATAAGGCTTTATAAAACTTACAAAATTTACAAAATTAGCTAAGAAATTTTTGCAAACTTGCTCAGATCAAGGTAGAGGTGAGCGCGGGTCCAAATTTTAAAAACCCGACCCGAACCGAACCCGAAAATTTCCAAAGCAAAAACCCGAACCAACCCGAACCCGCGGGTAACAAAACCCGAACCGAACCGAACCCGAAAATCATGAAAATGTAAAACCCGACCCGAACCCGAACCGACCCGAACCCGAAACCGAAATTTTGTAATGACCGTGTAAATTTTATAAAATGTCAAAATATTAATATTAAATCTTAATGTCACATTTGTGATAAAAGTCAACGATGAATTTCCTAATAATAAATCTTATTGGAGTTTTACTGCTAAACTCCGTTTCAAGTTACTTGAGTTCCCCGCCTTGAGGAGATTACATTACATTAGCCGAATGAGCCGAATGAGCCGAATTATTTTATTATTTGACACCACTTATTTTTATTTTGGCGTTAAAATCATACGAAATTGACTAATGTAAATGCCAAAATAAGAATAAGTGGTAACAAATAATAAAATAATTCGGCTCATTCGGGTAATGTACTCCATGTAACGTGAAACGGAGTTTATGTTACTTTCCACACCATGATTTCAAAATTGTTTTCTAGAGGAATGGAATGGAAAATAGAAAATCTATCTGATCCAGTTGTAGTCAGTAAACTGATTAATAATTTAAACGCCAAAATAAAAATAACAGGTCTCAATTAATAAAATAATTCGGATCGTTCGGGTAATGTACTCCATGTGACCAAATCAAGTAACGTGAAACGGAGTTTAAATTTAAAACCGTGTAATAATTAGTAAAGACTCAAACCTTTTGTCAAATAAGAAAAGTTAATAATCTCCAACAAAAAACTGTTAAAAAGTTAATAAGCTTACAATAAAGTAACTTTTAAACAAATAAATTAAATAATCAAATGCAGTTAAATAATGTGCAAATATATTTATGTACATAGGGTATTTGCAATATAAGTACACAACATAAGGACCTAAGTAGATGCAAACATAAGTATATGCCGCCAAGTTAAACAAATTTAGGGTTTTCGGGTTTTTAGGGCCCGAACCCGAAAACTCTTTTTAAAACCCGAACCGACCCGAAACCGTTTGTTAGGGTTTGTCAAAACCCGCCCGACCCGAACCCGTTCGGGTTCGGGTTCGGGTCGGGTTTACAGGGTTGGACCCGAACCCGCGCTCACCTCTAGATCAAGGGCTTCTCTTAATTTATTAGCAGTTTGTAAAATTATTTTACAAAATTTACGGATTTTGCAATGATTGGGTTAATATTTTTACTTGTCCCTGAAATGAATGCATAAAATATTTCTTAAATTTCTCAATTTAAAAAAATGAATTTATTTATTCCAAAAATTTGCAACTCTCTCTTTATTTTTTAGCAGTTTGTAAAATTATTTTACAAAACTTACTCATTTTACAAGGTTACAAATGCCTGCGTGAATTGCTTCACTATTTACTTTTGACTGAAATGAATACAGATACAAATCTTTCCAAGATTTCTCAATTTTTCAAAAATGAATTTATTTCTTCCAAAAATTTGCAACATCACGCCCCCAAATTTCTGAGAGAATTATGTAGTGATGGATATGTTAAATGAAGCGTTTCCACCATGACGTCGCCCTCTTTTTTTCCGTCAACTCATCGGCACGTCATCTCCGAGTGGTGAGATTTCCCTGGAGGCGACTTGACGTCGGTGACGTCCCCCTTCTCCCCGCTGCCGGGATTTCCTCTTCTCGTTCTTCCGGGAGAAATCTTTCCGCAAGTCGCGAAGGTAGCTCGTGTCACTTGCGACGGGTGGCAAGTCTGCCAAGCTGGGCTCGAAATGGACCTGGAGAGGGGAGGAAAATTGTAAATCAGAAATTTTCAAAATTTTGATGAAAAATCAGAATTAAAAAAAAAATTTGGATTCCATATTTTGGAATAATTTTGAATAATTTGGTATTCTTTTTTTGCAGGCGTATTTACATACCTCATTTTTGTCATGCTTGGAGGAAAGGATCAAGGCTGGATGGGAAGATTTCACTTTTTGGGAAGAAATTTTCTGGAAATTCTGGAAATATTTAGTGAATATTTGTAAAATTAAGTTAGTTTAAATTTTCTTGAAATTATAAAAATATTTTGTGATCATGTGGAGAGAAATTTCGAAAGAAAGTGACAACAAAATTGAAATTTGTAACTATTCTATGGAATGTTTAGAAATGTAACGTTTCATAATTTTTTACATGTTGCTGATTTTTGGTCTTCTTATTTTTTGGAGTATTTTTCGACTTCGAGACAGATTTTGGAACATTGTCTTTCGTATTGTGAAATGGAATTTCAATTTTTGTATCCGATTCATCCCCAATCGCGTGCCATTCTTGACCATCCCATTTTATTTTCTTCCACTCGATCGCATTCTAAAATTTAGAGAGAAAAATAGTAATGTCAATTATGTAAATGTGTAATGATGTTTAATGGAATAATTAATTATATACGTACAGAATTTGGTGCTTTACGAGCATTAGTTATACTTAATATAATTACGAAAATTGGAAAACATGACAAAATTAGGCGTATTTTCTGCATTATAATTGCTAAAATTTAACAAAATATGACAGAGTTTGACGACAAAATTGTTAAAATACGAAAAACTGAGAAACTAGAGTTAAATACAGGTAAATCGGTCTGAATTTGAAATGAATGATGTGTTAAATTTCAATTCTGTATTTATTGAACGTATTGTTTTGAAACCTTGAAACTTTTAAAAGAAAATTACGAAATAGATTATGTGTTTACCGGTAACTTTCTCATTACATGATACAATTTGAAGAATAATGAAACAATGGATATGTCAAAATTCTTTGATCGACTTTAAATACGAATGTGTAGAGGTATGTATAGTGAATATTAATTAGAAATCATGCGATGTGATAGATTTTCGGGAAATTTTGGGAAATAATAATGTAAGAAAAATAGAATACAAAATCTGCCCAATTTTTAAAGTTTATTAAAAACTGAGAGCAAATTTGGTTGAATTAAACGAAAAATCGATTTTGAAGAAATTAAACTAAAATTATTTTAAAGCAGGTTTGAGGATTCCTCCATCATGGAAGTTTAAATTTGTCCAATTAAAAATGTAAAAAAAATGTGGACCGTATTCGTAAAATGACGGAATCAAAAGTAATAAAATAACTCAGATAACATAATAACAAATCAGATTAACCAAAGTAAATTGAAAATTTAGACGGAGTATTAATTTGTACAATTATTTAAATTGAGTTTTAATAATATTACCGTTCCATAGTTAAAGATGATTTGTGCACACAGATTACGGGTTTCGCTTAATTTGGAAATTTTAAAACTTGTAATAATTTGTAGGTTTACAAAGGTTTGCATAGATCAAAAGCGTCTTAAATCCATTTCAATAACCTAGTACGATAAATCACGTAGCAAAATCTTTATAAAAATTATTACCGATATACGACTTCAATATTCTTAATAAAATAAAATTAAGTGTAGATTTACATTTAAAATTGATCACAAAAAAATTATTTATTAGCGGATCATGATAGATGAGCATTTTTATTCGTGTAAAATATTTATAGCAAATTTGCAAGTCGACAAAGGGCTTAATGACTCGTTAAAAAATCGCAAAAATCAACACATGTGTAATAATTTCTCAGATCAGGGAATTTTTAAATTTTTGGATGACGAATTTGTAAATTTGTAATCGTAAGTTGATATTTCTGAAGGCTTTTTAAACTTTAAATCTCCTCGTTCAAAAACTGTCAAAATCCGGAGTGTATGCTTTTTATTGACAATAACCTACTCTAAAAAGTTTTGTGGATCAGAATTTTAAAATAAATTTCCAGAGCAGAGAAATTATTTTAAATGTTTTGATTTTTACGATTTTTGAATGAGTCATTAAGCCCTACATACATGTATGTCAATTTGCAAATTTAGTGTAAGTATTTTAGACAATTAAATATGCTCATCTATCATTTTCGACTTTTAAGTAATTTTTTTGTGAAGTTCAAAATCCGTAATAATTTTTACAAAGATTTGCCTACGTGCTTTATCGTACTAGGTTATGTGAACGGAGTTAAGAGTATTTTTTATTAGTTTTGAAACTGCTTAAGGGGATGTGGGAGGAAAGGGGGATTGGAGAGCATGTCATCGAGTGGCCGATGGATTGACTACAGTGCAGTGGTCAACTGGTCGCTCACTCGAATTTGCCTCACAAGCTCCATCTGCAGCGAGTGATGCAAAATTTAACCGCAATTACATTAGCCGTATGACCGAATTATTTTATTATTTAACACCAGTTGTTTTTATTTTGGCGTAAAAATCTTACGAAATTGTATAATTTGAACGCCAAAATGAAAATAACAGGTGTTCAATAATAAAGTAATTCGGATCATTCGGGTAATGTAACGCAGATCCAGTGGAACTATTACAAGAATTTGAAAAAACGCATTTTTTTAATTTTCAAACTCTAATTTCTTGGCGAATAAACCTTCCACCTCGAGTGTTTTGACAGTTTTGGAATCATGAATTGTTGTGCCACGATAGTACGACATGTTGCTCATGCCAAATTATAAGGTGGCCCTCCTACGTGACAAATTCCGCAAAAATTACAAAGAGCCAGTTCTACATGGATTGAAATCTATATTCTCGTAACCATGGTCGTACTATTGTTGTGCATAAATTTCTGAAGAGAATGACACCAAGTTATCCAAATTTGATAGTCTGTAACCCATAAATTTACAACGTTTGTCAAAAAAAGAATTACACGAAGGCTTATGCAATGTGAGGGTGGACGTAGTTCAAACATAGCGGATAAAGATCGGTGAGGCTGTGTCAGATTCCCCCTTAAAACTTAAAACTTACAATATAACCCATCATCACTATAGATTCCTAATTTCATGTAAAATGTTTTACTCACGACGTCATTTTATTTTGTAACATTTGCAGATCGATACTAATTTTTGGGAAGATTTTACTACGTTTAGTTAACCTAGGTAGCCGGCTCGTGATTTGTAGAGTATTAGTTTAATTTAAAAAAATCAAAAATCAAAAAATGTAATAAATAATGTCAAAGTTGAAAATTTGCATAGCATTTTTGCATATTATTTGTTCAGAAATATGCACCGATTCTTTTGTTATATTTTGACTATAGGCGATCAAATCCGATTTTTATAACCTGACTCACTCAGTTTAAACTTAAAGTTGAGCTAAATTTATCCTTAGGATTTTTTCTTTGATTAAATGAACATTGAAAATCGTGCAAGAATTTGAGAAAAACTTAAGATTTCTGAAACTTTAAGTACATAGATAAATATTGTGGTAATTCACGCAGTCCTTGATAACTTTGCAAAATCCATAAATTCTGCAAACGTACAAACTTTTCAAACATTTCTGAGGAAAATTAGCTCCCAAATTTTTGTACGTTTACTCAGATCAAGGGCGTCTCTTTATTTTGTAAGAGTTTGTAAAGTTATTTTACAAAATTTACAGATTTTACAAAGTTGCCAATGACTGCGTGACTTGCCTCAAAGGTTCGCAACTGGAATGACTCCCGTTATCTGTACAAAGCTACATTTGTAAATGTATTCCCTCTCCTAATTTCTGTGTGTATAATGTAAACATGTTTGTAAAATTTATGGGGTTACAACACCAACTTTTGAACATGCATTTGTCCAAGAATGATTCAAATTCCATAAATGTCTAAAGATTCTGTACCTTCGGGTCTTCGGGTAAAATGTGCATCCCGATTAGTTAAAAGTTTAAAAGTTCTTATTATACAATAGTGCACAGATTGGAATGAAACACATCCTGGGTTTTTTGGAAATTAAATTATTCCAATTCAAAATTCCAAAACATGATTTTTCTGTGAATTTGATTTCACTCTCAACTCTTTTTAAAACTATAATTCAGTTTGTGTGCAAAATTTGCAAGTTCATGAACCGTGTATCATTATGAGATGATTATTGGATTAAGAATTTTTAGCTCAGAATTACGAATTCATTTAAGCTATTTTTTGGACAAGATTAGTGAAAATTTTGTTAAAAGAAACATTGACAAATATTTAAATTAACATAATTTTACTGCTTTATAAATATTTGAGTGGCATTCTTCTTATGCGAAATGTTGATACCGAGCGATTAGTCAAAAATTTGGTAGTTATGATTTGGAAGTCAGGCTTAAGATTTCTAAATTTTACCAAAATTTCTCCAAATTATGGATTGTTCGTCATTCCGCTTCTAACTTTTTTATGGGCCCAACAAATTCAATTTTACTTATCAAAATAACATATTGTAAATTTCTCGAATTTCGAATTTTACGGCATTACTAAAATTTACGTGACTTGGCTTTCTAATTCACAATATGTACGCCGATTAGTTAAGAATCTGCAAGTTCATTCAGTAAATTAGCTCTAATATTAAGATCTCTTACATTGTCTTGAAGTATTCTTCATATGAAATAAAATTATATAATTTCAGAAATTTTAACAATCTTTCTCCAATTACGGATTAGCATTCCCCTTTTATGAGCACAGCGCAAATAAATTTCTTTCATAATAATATCAAAAAATTTGCAAATTTAGCGAATTTTATGGCCTGTAAATATTTGATTGAATAGCAATTTGGACGCCAACTAGTCCAAAATTTGATAGTTATGATTTCTAAATAAGTTCTAAGATTTTTCGAACGATAGAAATCCCATTTCAGAAATTTTACCAACATTTCTCCAGATTAGATTTCTTAATCACTCCATTTTTTGGTGCATAATCGATTAAATTTTTCTGTACACAAGATTAACATCGAAAAATTTGTAAATTTACCGAATTCTAATAAGTCATAAATATTTGAGTGATATTTTTCTTATGCATAATTTGGATGCCGATTGGTCAAAAAATATCTAGTGTGATTTCTAATTCGGTTTTAAGATTTTTCGTTAAAGTTATCTAGGACTGCCGAACTATCAGAAATCAGCACAATTTTGAAAGTTTTGAAGGAAATTTGACTGAGTTGAGAGTCAAAAATTGATTTTTTAAAGAAATAAGTAATATTATAATTACGTAGGTCGCGAGTGAATAGATCATAATGTAATTTTTTTAATTAAAAAAAAATTCTTCTTGAATTTTATTGCCTGACTCAATATTGTGTCATGATAGCTGATTATTTAATTGTAATTTTTTTACAATTACTTAAGAGGCAGTTAATCGTAAAAGTTTGTAAACCGTTTAAATTGGGATGGTGTGCAATTATCGGTCATGCTTTTTTACCTATACCTGTTTTTCCTTATATTTTTATGAACATTTAATTACGTATATGTGTACAACTGTTCATATAATTTAGATTTAGAAATTTAAAACTTGGAAATTAGAGGAAAAAAAGTAAGTGTGTCTGAAATGTTTCAAACTCCAGTTTTTGCAAAAATTCGAAAAATATAGGTACACTAATTTTGCATATGTAGAACTTGAACTCTAAGTTGAAATTTTTCTTCTTGAAAGCTTGATTTTCCAAACAAATACAAAAATCATATCAACTTCAGAGTGGTTGATTTCATGCGGGTAGCCAAACATTTTTATTGTAGTATGTTATGCAATAATATGCCCTAAAATTTGGATTTTGAAAAATGCTAAGCATGTTTCATACTCTTCAAAATTTACAGTTTGGAAGACTTAAAAAACACTTGGTTTTCATCTTATTTGCAAGTTTCACATTTCTAAATGTAAATTACGTAAGTAAAGTCAAATTCTCAAAAAATAGAATAAAATTAGCCATAGGATGAAAAGGGTAGTGCAAATAATTGCATCCCATCTCAATTTAAATCATCCTGTTTTTAACAAGGACGAATTCTATTTTATTCCAATTGGAATATTTCACATCAAAATTATGAAACATAATTATTAATTGATATATTAAATGATCCACACATTTTTATCATTAATTGGGTTTTACATAATTAAAAAAATCCAATTTACTAATCAACTATCGCAACAAAATATTCAGCAGTCATAAAAGTTAAAGAAAATATTTACGAAAATTGAAAATAAAATTATCGAAATCTACGCAACTACAATTTCTTAAGAGTCAATCTTTGACTATCAAATCAGTCAGATTTCCTCCCAGTTTTTAAATAACTTTCAAAATTGGGCTGATTTTGATTTTACATGCTGTCAAATGTTCATAAAAATTAGTCATAGGATAAAAAGGGTAGCAATTAATTGCATCTCATCTCAATTTACATAAATGATTTACAAATTTTTACGATTAACTGGCTCTTACATAATTAATAATAAAAAACAGTTAAATAATTAACTATCGGGGCACAATATTCGGTGTCAACAGAATGAGCTTATCATTTACAATTCTCTCTAGGTTCGCAAGCTTGTTGATCTGAGATCCTTCATTCGTAGAATTCAAAATGTTTCCAAAATTTCCAACTAGCAGTTCTTTTAATACCTGCAACCCTTTTGAAGATTATATTTTTTTTCAAAATTCTCAACTGGCGTTAAAATTCATAACATGATTTTTTCGTGTCGCTAAAATTAGTATTGGTCAGAAAGGAAAAATATGTCGATTCAAAATAAAATTCATAAATATTTTATACGTTTTTAAATGAGCTCTAATTTCTAAAATTTGCTAACATTACAAGTTGCAATACAGAAGGAGTTTTACATTTCAATTAAAACGTAATGAATATACAAATTCCTAATGAAATGGGAGGAAACCTTAAATACACCGTTAGGCTCTGAATTTTTCCAAAATTCTCCACTGGATTCAAATTATAGCATTGTGCATGGTTTTTCTCGAAATGCAAAATTTGTTGTTGGACTAAAAAGTTAGAATTGAACTCGACAAGACGAAAAAGTTTATCCTTGATTAAATGAACCCTGAAAATCATGCGAGAATTGAAGAAAAACTTGAGATTTCTGAAATTTTGTATTGAGAAGTAAATATTGAGGCAATTTAAGCAGTCCTTTGTAACTTTGTGAAATCCATAAATTCTGAAAACTTACAAATTTTTACAATTATTTCTGAGGAAGCTTAGCTCACCAATTTTTGTAAATTTACTCAGACCAAGGGCGTCTTTTGATTTTGTAAAAGCTTGTAAAGTTTATTTTAGAAAATTTACAGATTTTACAAAGTTATCAATGATTGCGCCAATTGCCTTAAATATTCACAAAATGGTAAGACTCCCGTGATCTGTGCATGGTTACAGTTGTAAATTTATTCCTTTTCGTAATTTTTCTATGTAAACACGTTTGTAAATTCTACGGGTTGCCTGGATTGAGATATTTACCTTGGGAAACGAATTTGTTCAATATTAACACCAAACAGACAAGAATTTGGAAATGGAGTTAAGTTCTTCAAGATTCTGTGGGTTTCCAATTCAATTGTATAAGTGTTTCTGTATATTAGAAGGATGTTAGAATTCCATGAATTAAATTACTGTATAAAATTCATAAGTTTTGTAAAAAAAATCTTCATATGATCATTTTTGCAAAAATTTTGATACATTTTTTTAATTCCAGCGTAATTTTTAATTTATAACGTAGTTTACGACATGAGTTTACAATATTGGAAGAATTTCATTAACATTTGCATGCAACATGTAGACGCGGATTAGTTAAGTTTAAATGTTCTCATGGTTTAATAGTGCAAGAATTAATAATTTTTTGAGGCTTTTTAAGAATCGAATTATTCCATATCAGAATTCTTATATAACATTTCTCCAAATTTGATTCCACTCCCAATTTTTCTTTTTGAACGGGCAATTAAATTTTTCTACAAGAATAACCCAGAATTTATGGATTTTACTGGGTTACACTAAAATATTTGAGACGCATTTGTCTACAAAATCTTGATACCGATCAACTAAAAATTTGGATGTTCATTAACCGTGTATCATTAAAAGATTGTTCGGTCACAGCCTTTGATGAAATCAAATGATTAATTTTCAGAATTTTCACTGTATCTCTCAACATTGCGATTACACTACTTCTATTTAACCTTTTTTGGACACGATAAATGAAATTTTTCCATAAAAAATAATATCGAAAATTTGTAAATTCAACGAATTTTACTGCGTTATAAATATTTGAGTAGCATTCTGCATAAGTTGGATGCCAATTAGTCAAAATGTCAGAAATATGATTTCTAAATCCGTTTTAAGATTCTTTGAAAGAATGTTTTTCCTAGCTTAAATATCCCTTTTCAGAAATTTTAACAATGTTTCTACAAATTACGAATTCTTCACCATTCCTCTTCTAATTATTGATTTTTTAATTTTTAAATTTATTCCCTTTCGTAATTTCTGTATGTAAAACATGTTTGTAAAATTTATAGGATTGCCTACATTAAGAATATTTCTTTTGAAAATGCATGTCCAATATTAATGCCAATTATTAACTAAAATTTTAGAAATTGATTCAAGTTAAATGTTTAAAGATGATTCACTCACGAGATCATTAGCAGGTTGATAAAATGCAACCAGGTTAAAATTCCGTGAATTAACAATAATGCACACTTTTATTAACGTTTTCATGTAAAATGATTTTCAATGATGTTAATTTCCAAAGATTTGAAGCACATCATACATTTTTAGGAAATCGAATTATTCATTTAAAAAAATGTTATGATATTTCTCCAAATTTGAGTCCACGCCCAATGTTTTTTGAAACTAACAATTAAATTTTTGTGCAAAAATAACCGGAAAATATTGAGGTAAATTTGTATGACTAATTTTGATGCCGATCAATTAAAAATTTGAAGTTCATGAACCCTGTATCATTAAAAGATTCTTTGATCAATACAACGTTTTTGATGAAATCAAATGATTCATTTTCAGAATTTTTACTATATTTCTCCTAATTATGATTCCACTTCTATTCCACTTTTTTTTAACTTTTTTAATCAAATTTTTCTGTCAAATTAACATTGTAAATTTATCGAATTTTACGACGTTGCAAATATTTGAGATGTCTGGATGCCGATTAATTAAAAATCTGCAAGTTCAATTCGTAATTCAGTTTTAAGATTACGTTTTGTCTTGCCCAGGCTTGAAGTCTTCTTCGTATGAAATAAAATTATAAAATTTCAGAAATTTTAACATTTCTCCAAATTACGGATTGTTCGTCATTCCACTTCTAACCTTTTTTTGGATACGACCTATCAAATTTTTTTTCTCTGAATAATATCTAAAAATTTACAAAGTCATCGAATTTGATGGCTTTATAAATATTTGAGTGGCATTGCATAATTTTGATGCCGATTAGTCAAAAATTTGCAAGTCGTGATTTCTAAATCGGTTTTAAGATTTCTCTATGGAGATGTATGTAGCCCATTTCAAAAATTTTAACAAGATTTCTACAATCTACGGATTATCATCCATTATTCATCATTCCTTTTTTTGTGCACAGCGCAATTAAATTTTTCTATGCATAATAATAACATCGAAAAATTTACAAATCCATCGAATTTTATGCAGTTATAAATATTCAAGTGGCATTCTCTCATGCGTAATTTGGATGCCGCTTTTAACAAAAATTGCTATTTGTGATTTGCACATCAATTTTAAGATTTCTCGAGGTTCAGTAATAGACGATTTCAGAAATTTTAACAACACTATTTCAAATTTGGTGCACAATCAATTAAATTTTTACATAGATAATAACCACATCTGAAACTCTGTAAATTTCAGATTACAATATTACATTATCTCCCCCGTGAATTGCCCCATTGTAAAAATAACTTTTTTTTCATTTCATCCTCTGCGCCGTGTTATTATTTTGTAAAAGTTCGTAAAATTATGTTACAAAACTTATGCATTTTACAAAGTTACCAATGACTGCGTGAATTGCCTTATTAAAAAAAATTATAGATGGTTATGAAATACGAGTGATCTTTTCTCATTGAGATTTTCGAGGGGGTTGAACATCCGTCACTTTTTTGACAGACGTGAAGGCGATTCCATATTTGGAGGGAGGGGCAGTTTTGACATATTCACCATTTCGTACGAGCTGACTTTGACGGTCGTGTTGCTGTCCACGGTTAAAAATGTGGTAAAGTCAGACACACATTCGGTGATGGTATAGATTTGGTAATAACTTCTATACCGGATTGGTAATAGTTTGATTCTGAGTGGTAAGTTTTGTAATTCCCGTTATTACCGTGGCAGTGAAGTCATATATGCACTCTCGGGCTGGTGATGACTCAATACCGTTTTGCTAAGAGGGTTGTATTAGTTTGCTAAAATTTACTAAAATACAAAGAAAATTGTAAGAAAATGATGCAAAATTGATGAAAAGATTGAGAAAATTTGTGTGATTTCTGAGCCAATAAGAATTTTTAAATGGTATTAAAATTACTAATTAAAATATAGATAACACTCCTCGGTTGATTGTGTATTATGTGCTACATAACTGGTTTTTCAAAGCCGTATTTTCTCTCCCCGAAGCACCATTTGATTAATGAAACGGTCAAAAAAGAGATATGTGCATATGTGAAACAAATGGATAAGACAACTTCAACCACGATTTGTGAATCATGATCATTTGCTTAAAATAATTAATCGTCATTTACGTAGTGCTAGGTAATTTTGTAAAACCCGTAAATTTGTAAAATAATATTTGTAAAAGCTGTAAGTAAAAGTTTGAAAGTTGACGGAATCTACTGAACTGACAAAGTTACCAAAAACTGTGCATGTGCACAAAACTGTGCTATCATTAGTTCATTTCCAAATTTAGATTGAAAAACATTTCGCAAATTTCTGGGAAATTGTGAAATAGAAAAAAATGCAATTATTTACTTCTCTCGAATTATTATGCATTACGCATCGTTGAATTACAATGGGTAAGTATTTACCTATCGACTAATTGTTTACGCCTCATTTTCACCTGACCATATTGTCCCTTTGTTTTACAAATATTGTGACTCACAATTTGTGAGCATGAGGAGTGAAATCGGTAGAAATACGATATCTTGTCTGGAATGGAATGAAATGAATGCTTATAACAAATTAATACTTAAAAAGCGCACCTTTGATGTTGAGGCAGGCGAGTGAAACCAAGCGGTGACGAATCGTCGCTTACGAATTATTATCCCGGAAGAGGTAAAAATTGGAACAAAAACAAATTGGCCATTTAATAAATAACCAGTTTCGCCTGGTCACCAAGTGTTCAGTTGATTATTAAGGTGGAAAGTTTGTAGTGCGAAATTATTAAGTAATTTATAACTTTAGTCATGAAAATTAGTGGAATCTTGCTCGTTCTCGGTTTAATTGCAGGTTGGATAACTATCTATATTTATAGCAAGAGTTTTGCATACTTTTTAAAAGCTTCTGCCCATTTTTGAATACTTTTGGAAGATTTCTCCATTTTTTTGCGCACTTTTTGAAGGCTTGTTCCTACTTCTTTGCACACTTCTTAAATACTTACTTTTTGCACATCTCGTAACGCATAAAATAATGTATAAAATAACTTTCGAAGTTTTATACAGTTTAAAAATTATGATTAATCCGTTAGGAATTTTTAAAAAAAATTTTTAAGAAATCTTCATTTCCTGTTCAACGCATTTCTTAAAATAAATATTTCTCCATTTTTCAGCCTTTATTTTTTTTAAATTAATTTTTCATACTTTTTATAGAATAATTTTGCATGCTTTCTTTAACAAAATATTTAAAACTTCCCCAATTTAGTCACCATCATTTCCGTCAGTGGGGAAGACGCTAAACTCAAACCTGCCGAAGACAGGAAACTTGAAAAAAGATCGCCCGATTCAGTGACCACGGGAGCAGATACATCTGCAAAGAAGGAAGAATCGAAACGTGACATTCCCGACACTCCTGCAGCCTCCACAGATCCCGCTCCCGAGAAAAAGAAGAAACGCAAGAAGAGAAAGTTTTTAGCGTCTTCTCCAGATGGCACGGAGGAAAAGAGATCTGTCGTTGCCGTGGCCCCAGCGGAGGCCAGTTCTGCCATACCCGCAGCGGTCGAAGGGCAAGATGCCAAAAATGTGAAACGAGGTAACACAGAAGATTTTAAATTCTATAAATTTTAATGCAATTATCAGTTCAATTTTTTCTGTGCAGAGGATGCCGCCCAAGCGGTCGAAACGCAAGCGTCGTCGCCAGATGTCAAAAGTGTGCCAGACGTAAAACGAGGTTTAACACAATAACACACATTTTTAACTGTATAAATTTTGGCATACTTATTTATGCCAATTTTTTTGCGCAGAAGACGCCGTTCAAGCGGTCGAATCCCCGCAAGCGTCCCCGGATGTCAAAAGCGTGCCGGAGGTGAAGCGAGGTAAAGCAAAATTACGACTATTTTTTTTTTGACGGTGTGCCGGATCGGATGTTAGGCGAGGTTTCCATAAGATAGATTTTTAACCGTACAAATTTTGGAATAATTATTTATGCCAATTTTTGCGCAGAGGATGCCGTTCAAGCGGTTGAAGCCCCACAATCGTCCCCAGATGTTAAAAGTGTGGCGGAGGTGAAACGAGGTAAGGCAAAATTACGATTATCTTTTTTATTTTTTTGTGACGGTGTGTGACGCTCACTTTGCAATTTTTACAGAGGACGCCGCCCCTGCGATTCAAGCTGTTGAAGTACAACCATCTCCAGAAGAAGATAAAACTGGGGCCGATGTTAAGCGAGGTAAATAACTAACCACCCAGATTTTGGGATAGTTTTCAGTCCATATTTTATATACAGAGGACGCCGTACTTCTTCCAGCAGTCGAAGTGCAACCGGTATCTCAAGCAATTGAAGATGTTAAAAGCGGGGCGGAAGTGAAACGAGGTACGCAAAAAATATGGACCAATTTGACCTGTGCAATTTTTTTAAATTGTCAAAAATTTAATATCAATTGTCAATTTTCAATTATTTTTCAAATTTCAATCAAATTTCAATTTTCAATCAAATTTCAATTTTTTATCAATCATTTTCAATTTTTTTAGAGGACATCGCCGTTCCCGTTACGCAAGCAGAACCCTCTCCAACCGCAAACGTAGGGGAGGAGGGCAAGGATGTGAAGCGAGGTGGGTATTTGCATACAAAATATTGGCAAATATTTGCGAATAATGATTTTTTTGCAAAATTTTCCCACTCTTTATAGAGGATACCTCCGCCCCAGTCGCAGTGCAAGAAGAAGAATACGACGATGACGCCCAAGCCCCTGTCGAAGTAGAGAAACGATGTCAGTTAAAAAAGACTTCTGTACAAAAATGATTTCAAATTTTGAAAAAACAAATATTTTTTTCAAACTAGCCGAAGATGAAGATGGTTTAGCTTCATCGAGAACGGGTGAATTAATTGAACGGATTTACGAAGAGGAGCAAGACATGAAACAATTGATGAAAACGATTGTCCGAGAGGAAAAACAGATGGAGAAAATGCTACACAAATTGGAACAATGTGGGTGTAATTTTTTTACAGGACTCAATGATTCATCGCCAAAATCATAAAAATCAGGACATTTTTCCTCATTCCTTTGTTCTGGGAATTTATTTTAAAATTCTGAACCACAAATTTGTAAAGGAGGTCGTTGCCAATTTTTTGGGAACATACACTCCAGATTTTGACAGTTTATTAATCAACTTACTGACTACAAATTTGTAGTCCAGAATTTTAAAATAAATTCCCAGAGCCGCGGTATGCTTAAAAAAGTGCTGATTTTTACGATTTTGGTTAACAGTCCTATGTTAAAAAGAGAGGAAAATTTTGATTTATTTTATATTTTTTAGTGGAGGAACGCGTCGAGGCGAAAGATACGACACGTCACAGTAACAGACGCCACTCACGGTTTCGTCATAATTAAAATGAATTTTTGACCTTATTTACGAATGTATTTATTTATGAGTGCGACTTATTCTTTTTGGGTGTGGTGATGCTTTAATCTTAATTTGTTCTACCTGAATTTCTGGATATTTTAATAAAATTAATAAATTTTACGTTTTTAACTCTAAACATATATCGGATTTTGTATTTGTTTTTATTTGTATTTAATTGTATTTTGTACTTATTTTCAAGTTTTTCATTTCATGAAGACGAACGATAAAACTTTGTAGATGTGTTTCCTGACTCGCTTATATCAGAAAAATTGCAAACTATTTTTCGTAATTGTACTGTCTCATTTGCCGGGACTCTGAAATCGAGGATAGAGTTTTACAAGGGAACTGGCCAAGGTGTACAGCTGCTCCTCCCATAATGGATGGATCCGCGATTACATTAGCCGAACAGCCGAATTATTTTATTATTTCACATCCTTCATTTTTATTTTGGCGTTCAAATTATTCAATTTCGTATGATTTCTTCTTCTATTATTTTTATTTTGGCGTACAAGTCTTACGAAATTGAATAATTTGAACGCCAAAATAAAAATGAAGGATGTGAAATAATAAAATAATTCGGCTGTTCGGCTAATGTAATCGCGGATCCATCCATTATGGGAGGAGCAGCTGTACACCTTGGCCAGTTCCCTTGTAAAACTCTATCCTCGATTTCAGAGTCCCGGCAAATGAGACAGTATGGTTACACATTTCTAGGCTTTCAGACATAAATATTTCCGTCATTTCTAATTTCTAGGCATAATTTCCATGAAATAAATTCCCTAAAAATTGTATACATTTTTCCCATTGATTCTAATATGATGGATGAAGCTGGATGGCGATCTGACAAATCTACGCAATTTTACTATTCGTTATCATGCAATATTTTTTGCGGCGCCGCATCCACACAAATTATTTTTTTTACGGAAATAATGCGTAAAAAATTCACGGATACGACAATTATTATTCATATTATTTCCGTATCATTACCAGAGCGCGGTTATGTATTTATTTATTTTCAACTTTTGTATTTGATAACCGATAGTTAAACTTTGTGCGTGTGAGTGCTGCCTAACTTGTATAAATCACAAAAATTTCAAAATATTATTTTTTTTCCATATTCTTACACATCCCTAGGTTTTCAGACAAACAGATAAATATTTTACTGGGATTTGAAAAACACGTAAACCTTTTAGTCTTTTTAATTGATACATTTCGTAAATTTTCAACGATTCGGGACGAAATTATTTTCTCAAATACACAAAATATCTAGAACTCTATATAAGTTAAAAAATACAAATTTTGCAAAAATCTGTTTTTTTCTGCATATTTCGTACATAAATATGTTGACATTTTTCCGCAAATTCTCTCAGTGATCTCGGTATCATATTTTATTAATTAATGAGTCAACAGTTGAAGTGGTTCCCGAGACAGGGAGACGAGAGATTTGTCATCGTTTCGCAAAAGAGACATTGGTATTTAGCAATCGACGTTATCATCGCTACTGGATTTGTGTCCAACATATCCTTGAACTTAAAAATGGTGTAGTGATAATGTCGGACGCATGCATGCAAAATATATCGGAGGTGACATTTACTTGGACATGGATAAGTACACATTTACTACCAATAAAAACATGTGCAGCTTCAGTGACTCACATTGAAGGTCTACCAACGTGAGTATGCTCACAGATTTTGACCAAGTAGTGTCAATTGAGCACAAGTTAAATTAATATAAAATTCGCAAATGACACGATCTTCGGATGGTCAGGTTTGGCCGAGATATTTGCATCCGAAGAGGAGAAAACGTGCAATAAATTTGGAAAGTGCAAACTTTTAGACTTTAAGGCTCGTTTTCTCCTCTTGGGATGCAAATATCTCTGCCAAACGTGCCCACTGGGAAATGGAGTCATTTGCAAATTTCATGCTAATTAAATTTGTGATCAATTCAAAAAATTTTGGTCGAAATCTGTGAGCATACATTGGGATTCCTCCATAACAGTGTTTCTGCGTAGAAATTAAAGATCTACATGAATAGGCGTACACATACTTGAAATTGAAGTTTTGTATGTGACATAAATATGATTGATTGATTGATGTTCTACATAATTCGATTTGAGTGACGAACGGAAATTAGTTTCAATTCGGAGAATCAATCAATTATCGATTTGGAATTTTTGGTTTGCTTACGTAAGAGAAATATATATTGATTATGAATGATTAAATGGACAAGCATTTATGTGAATAATTAGCGTAATGCAAAATTGAGATGATAATTTAAATGTGGATGATTTCTAGGACACGACTTAGTTGTTTTTATCTCTTTTCGCAGAAAAATATGAGTGTATGTACATACCTCTGATTAAAGCTACATCCATATTAATAATTGCAAATACGTATGAATATGCTGAAAATATGGCTTAATTTTTAAAAAATCCACCTTGTTTTATTTTTCACAGACAAAATATAAATTATAAGCAACTATATTTAATTATGTATTTAATTAACAGAATTTAGTAAGTAAATTGACGGTTAGCACGATGAATGCATTTGACACAATTGAAAGTCCCGAAGAAGTCGTTGTGGATGGTTCTGTGGTAGTTTGCACAGTAGGGGTTGTAGTTGGCACAGTGGGGGTTGTAGTTGGGACAGTGGGAAGCGTAGTTGGTTCAGTACTGGGAAGGGTAGTTGGCTCAGTAGTTGGTTCCGTAGTGGGACGAGTAGTTGGCTCAGTAGTGGGAAGGGTAGTTGGTTCACTAGTTGGCTCAGTAGTTGGTTCACTAGTTGGCTCAGTAGTTGGTTCACAAGTTGGCTGAGTAGTTGGTTCACTAGTTGGCTCAGTAGTTGGTTCACTAGTTGGCTCAGTAGTTGGTTCACTAGTTGGCTCAGTAGTTGGTTCACTAGTTGGCTCAGTAGTTGGTTCAGTAGTTGGTTCACTAGTTGGCTCAGTAGTTGGTTCACTAGTTGGCTCAGTAGTTGGCTCACTAGTTGGTTCACTAGTTGGCTCAGTAGTTGGCTCAGTAGTTGGTTCACTAGTTGGCTCAGTAGTTGGTTCACTAGTTGGCTCAGTAGTTGGCTCAGTAGTTGGCTCAGTAGTTGGTTCAGTAGTTGGCTCACTAGTTGGTTCACTAGTTGGCTCAGTAGTTGGTTCACTAGTTGGCTGAGTAGTTGGTTCACTAGTTGGCTCAGTAGTTGGTTCAGTAGTTGGTTCACTAGTTGGTTCACTAGTTGGCTCAGTAGTTGGTTCACTAGTTGGCTCAGTAGTTGGCTCACTAGTTGGTTCACTAGTTGGCTCAGTAGTTGGCTCAGTAGTTGGTTCACTAGTTGGCTCAGTAGTTGGTTCACCAGTGGGAAGCGTAGTTGGAACAGTTGGTTCAGTGGGAATCAAAGGTTCCAAACATGCCGGATTCAGGTCGATTTTCAAGCAACTTGGATCATTGATTATCCCGACCAGTGTACAATCCTTCAAATTTAAATCTCATCGTTAAAAGTAATCAATTTATTTAAAAAGATGCAAATTAGATGGCCCGGCATTTTATCCAGACTTACATTAATCACATGGTCCACAGAACATCTCACAGCTTCGGTAAGAATGGTTTTAAACAGGTCATTATCCGTCCACGCGGCGTCAAAGAATTCTTGAATGTCCGTGCTCAATTCGACCCAATTAATTGGTTCACCGTCAATCGTAGCCTCTCCGCCGTCCAGACTTAAATCTTTAAACCCAACGTCCAACTCCATACTACGCACCCCTAGATTTCCAGTAGTTTTCAGAAAAGCGAGAATCTGCAGGAAAACATCGGCCACCGAGGCAGAAATGTCTCCCGACCCGTCAATAACGTCCGTCACTTCTTCCCCCGTTTTGACCTCGATGTGCATGTTGTAGGCAGACGTGGACAAGGCCGCAAAAGGCAGCGACAAGTCCCACGATATTCGGCCTGTGAGAATGATAAACTGAAAATTGTCGACGAGACCACTCAATCCAGCAATTTCCAAATCGTTGCTAAAAATTAAAATTTGCAAAAATTATCAAACATGTAACACCTGCAGTTTCATTTGGTCGCTAATATTTGTGCAAAATTTCTCAGTAAGCTGACATCTACATAATTTGCGCAATTCGATACTTATATAAAACGTGTCGAAAATGTAAAAAAAATATGTACACAGATTAATTCAGTTTCATCTCGAGTTCAATATTACTTAAATACGTAATATTGGGATATTCGCGATTTGTGCAAAATTTAATTTATCTGAGAGTTACGTGTTTTTATGCCATTTTAAATGCAAATACTATCGATATCCTAAAAGATAGACAGGCATAGATTAAAAATAAATAAATATTTTCATCACCCAGCTCATACATAAATCAAGCAGAACTTTCAAGTTTCCAAAATTTACGAGTTTAAAAACTTTTAACCGGCCAAGCAAGCATGTTAAAAAATTTACGCAGCAAATTATCGGCATGTCAATATTTTTCAATCTGTTTACGAAATAGGAGGCGATCAGAAATATTAATAGACTCACGTGGTCTGTAGATTTCCCGTAATTGTGACTGGCGGGTCCAAAAAATCTAACGGGATATCAATCACTACTTCGCCCGGTTCTACCAACACGGGATCAGGAAATGGGGGCAGAAGCGTGGCTTTTCCTTCGATCGGACGACGACCGGTTCGAAATATCTCCTTATCCGCAGCCCTTAATTCCTTCACGAAACGGTCCACGTAGCTGAACGTGATCGTCTTGACGAGCCATACTTTCGCAGCTGAAAATATTTATAGTTATATTTCCGGTTTAATCAGTTTTCAGAATTATTATTTTGAAAATTTACAGTTTTATGTACGAGTTTACATTTCACGTAGAATACTAACTTGCGCCATAGTTAAAACCATTGCGCCATTTTAGTGCAAGTTCGTTACGAGTTAGTTGAAATTTATACATGAACACGTTAAAATATCGATTAATCTTCAAACTTAACAAATTTTCAAATTTTCTCGACATGACATTTAGAAACTATTTAAAAATTGTGTTACGCAAAAATTTCTTAGGTGGAAACTTTAAGATTTGAGTTAAATTTTAAGATTGTTTGAAATTAGTATTCTAACTCGTTTTATTTTATGTTTGGCTTATGCAATTTTTTACAATTACTATATTTTTAAAGATTTCTTAAAATGTGTAAAAATTAGAAATTTTTTGCAATTGTCAAATCAAACATTTTGAAAATAAAGGATAGAAATTTTTTAAACCATGCAGTAATTTAGAGAAACTAATTTTCTTGCAATGGCTAAATATTTTTAAAATAAAGTGTCCAGATTCTTTAAAATATTTTTTTAAGGCTTACAATGCGTTGTCACATTCCGCGGAAGAGAGATCTTGGCAGTGACCAGGGTCAACACCACGGCTATCGTGATTACTTGGAGAATGGATTTCATCCTGTTTTTTTTTAAATTACTGAGATCTGGTTACAATTAAATTAAGTATGACCACCAACCAAGCTTTTGGACAACCGAGTGAGAGAAAGATGACCAATTACTGCCAAATTATGGACTTATATTGTTCATGAACAGGACAATTGTGTGACAATTTTTTGATAACGAAGTTGAGTCGTATCATGCTTGCAAAACATCAGACATTCTGATGATGCCGAGACAATTGAATTTTTCTGACAGCATTTCACCATATCTCGATGACACGAGTACTTCAAGTGATTTTGAAGTATTGATTGAATTCATATGTTTAAATGCGTAGACTTCCGGTGGGGTGCATGGTCAAGTTAATTTTTACATGGAAAAAACATGTTCATGATTTTGTTTGGGGGACAGGTGAGGTTGCTGTTGAAAGTTTCCACTTGAAAGGATGATTCCGCAGAGTTAAGTATATAATGGTGTTTATTCGGTTATCTTTGTACATATCCGTGGAAAAATACGTCAATGCTAAATTAATTGTGTGATTCTTGAAAACGTCGGAAAACACATTATTGAAATAACTCTAGAAGTTGTTTGATGACTCAGAGCTGGCACCCAATTTATTAAGGTTGTATAGGATGAAGATTTGATATGGTATAGATTTTTTATCTCACTCTACCCCTATTCAATCTCTTTAAATGGAAGTTTCTAAAATGACGCCAATTTCACAAGTATTGAGATAAACGCAACTTTTCATACTTACTTTAATGTAAAGGTAATTTCTGGTATTACAAAACTATCGATTAAAAAATTACTAATTCATTTGCCACTTGTTCATAATAAATTTCCTTAAAAATTAATTCGCTATTTTTTCATGTCGATAATTCCGTACTACCAAAAATTAGTCTTACATTAAAGTATGAAAAGTTCCATTTATCTGAAAAATCTTGAGATTGATGCCATTTTAGCAATTTGCATTTAAAGACATGAACATGGGTAGATTGAGATTTGAAATCTATATTCATATTTATAATCTATATTTAAAATCTATGAGTTATTCCACCTTAACAATCCTAACAAAATAATCTTTAATTGTCATATTTTCGTGCGATACAAAGATCACTTTCTCTCTCTTCACACTTGTATACGTGGTGAGATGGAGAACGTATAACTTTTGTTTCAATATTTTACTCGTTGGCATTATTTCGCCAATTTTGCGTTTAATATTTATGAAACTTTTACGCAATGTGTATAATTTTAGATTTATCCAAGTTTTCTCCTCATTCATATTATTATTTAGAAAAGAAATATCAAAGCAAAGCAATGCGGTGTTGCCTTCATAAATTTAGCAGTGTTCTTTTGTATCGAATTTTATGATGAGACTATTGATTAATTATCCAATATTCAGATGAGGTGAAGATCTGGACATTGTGTAACCGGTGTAAAAGTTTGTACAAATTTGATAAACGCTCTTGAAGCGTTTCGATTCGTAAAATGATCAAAGATTTTAATGAGTTCTTTGCAAACTCGTCATCGTCCATTGGATAAGGTTGGTTGACACTAAATATATGCCACCTCATTTCTTAATGGTATTGTTGTCAATGTTATTGTGTGAAATATCGAGCAAAATATGTACAACCTAATTTTTCCGACACGAGTTTATTATCATCTAAAGTTTGTATTGAATTTATAAAGTTATTTTAAAAATTAGTCTTTTTGGTGTTTAAATTGGACGAAATTTTTGAGGGACAGTTGCTGGAAACTAATTTTGTATCAAAGTTGTATTTCTTTTTAAAAAATGCAAAGTTTCCACTTTCTGTCTGAACTTTTACATATAAATTTAGATTTTATAGAATATAGGAGAAGATAAAGTTTTGTAAATGTACAATAAAATTTCAGGGAGAAGTATGATTTCCAGAAATGTTGAAGAAAAATGTTGATTCAAAATTATATAATGTAAATATGAACCTGTTGTAAAATTTTGAAAATTTTTAATTCATAAATTGTACTTCAACTTCACTAAATTCGGAGGAATCTCTTGCCATCTTTAACAAATTTTAGTGTATACAATTTTTAGAAATTGGGATTTCTGAATTTTAGTGAGAGTGGCGACGTGAAAAACTTCCCCCACCCGCAAAACCGCAGTCAGTCAACTTTTAGGAAATACATAACTTTTCATATTTCTTACTTTTTTCCCTCTACTTAAGAATTGGAACTAATTGTTACTGGAATTAAGAAGTTTTCTAAACCATGCAGTGCAAAATGCTCAGATTACGTGAACGGATTATCGAAAAATTCAAGAATGAAGAACTTTTTCTATTTTCTATTTTGGACAATTTTGAACTTTTTGAACGTCCAAAATTTGATGTTCAAAACTAGTTGAAACCGGTTTTGGACAGCCGTTTCGGACAGTGGTTAAAACCACAGAGAAGCCAAGAGTAAAAAAAAAAATAGAAAATCGATACCCCCGATCCCAAGATTCCTAGACTTTTTAGTTTGTTTCCGTGGAGTGAATGTATTAGGATTGTGATGTATTTTACCACGGATGAAACTATGACACTTCTCGTGAGCCGTTAAGGTCGGGATGGGGGTGGTTGATGATTTTGCAACATTCATAAAATAACAATATTGTTCACCGCCGTGGTGCTTATTACACTGTCTTTATTTTTAATAGAAAACCAATTAGTCCAATCACATTTATAAAACTTAGTCGAATTTAAAGACAGGGAAGTTCCAATACAAAAACATTGAGACACAGACTTTTAAGTGGACAATGCTTCTTCCACCGAGTCTAAACTGGAACTTAACAAATTACAACTTTTCACAAACTTAAAAGTACTCACTTCCCACAAAGTCCACCCAGATTTACAATTCACCAATGAATGAGTAGTCTACCGACGCTAGGGTGATACCGTCACAAAATAAAGAACCAATGAGACAAAAGGTGAAAAAGGTTCAACAAGTTCAAGGGAGTACATTTTTACAGATAAAATACGAACAAAATTCTACTTAAACTCCGTCAAGCTGGCACCATTCAAATTACTTTTCGTCCTCTTGCCAGTCTCAACATGCCTCTTCAATACCAAAGTCATACAATTATGGGTCAAAATCATGCAAACCATTTTATCATCATATCGCATTAAAATCATGTATATTTTAAAAATCAAATTATGTAAAACGACGACAAGGATTATGTAATGATTATTCTCACCATTACATAATCCTAATACATTCACTCCACGGAAACAAACTAAAAAGTCTAGGAATCTTGCCCCGATCCAGATGCAAATTATGTAAATTTTCGGTTTCAGTTACACGCTTGATTATCTGTACATAAAACTGGTTATCAGCATTTTACACAAGTATCTCAATAAGTCAGTCATCAACGGATTCCATCACACGAACGAACCATTTTGGATGAAAACAAAACATCCCTCTATCAAGAATTTATAGCTTAAGAAAATCTGTTGATTTCTTTTGAAACGGCGTCAAACTTCATACAATGAGAAGATTAATACTAATTTGGTTTTCTGCCTACATAATTTTTTTGTATTTCTAAATTATAAATTATTGTGAAACATTTTACTAATATTGTTACATTAGAAATTCATGATACATAACGGTATCTAAAAATCAGTGGGAAAAAAATCAAAATTTTAAACCCCTAACTTTGCAAATTTAAAAATTATTGATTTTTTGACGCAAGAAAAATCTAAAAAACATCTTCATTTTTTAGAAAACGTACGGAGATCCCAAAGAAGAAGTGTCACCCAAGCCGTGTGGGTGTGACATCAAATGAAGAAAGACAAGATGTGAAAATGCAGTTGCAAAAGTTCATAAGAAATCATAGGCATAACTTTAAAGAAAACTTTTGAAAAAAATGCATCAGGCAAATTTTACACTCTTAGCAAAATTTAAACCAAATCAACACAATCCGGAATGCATATATGACTTAACCGGATTTGGAATTGATTTAACACGATATTGTGTAAAAATCAAGAGGCTCCCCAGACAGTGTTGATTTGTCACAATGCAGTGTAATACGTATACCGGCAAGGATATAAGTATTTAACTCTGCACAGTGATGAAATAATTCTATTTGGAGTAAAGCTACTGTTATTTTGGAAAAATATGAACACCAAGTTGTGTAGATTTTATTCCGGCCCGGAATAAACATGCTACCAAATTGTGCTGAATTAACACTTCAATTTAATGAATTTAACTCTGAATTCAATTGATTTCTACACAAGGTTATGTTAACAAAGATTACCATTTTTATTGAATTTTACAGTTTTACGTTAAATATACAATAAAATATAAAACAAACCAACAATATATATGTAATAATTACAAATGATGTCTTAGCACTAAATATAAAGAATCCGATTTACAATTTCTTTGTATTTCAAAACAATCGTGTATAACCAAATCGTTAACGTTAACTAAAATATATACATCAATTTTAGGTTCTAATTTATATGCAAAGTAATGTCTCTCAAAATATTTTACATCATATATTTTAAGGAGCAGAAGACAAGTATTTTCATTGGATATGATAAATTCTGAAATCATTCCAAACTTTGGGAAGACATTTCCTATTTCATAACAAACAAAATATCCCTGTTTATAATTGTACTCGCGGAACCAAATCTGATTTGTAGTAAATAAAATTGTATTAGCATCACAATTTTTATAAGCCTCGTAAAGTCTTAAATTCTCAATTAAGTCAAATGAATCGTGAAATTGCGAAAGTTTAGCAGAAATAATATTATCTGTTTTTAAATCGGGACTTTTATCACGGGAATGTAAACAATGTGACATGAATTGTTGATGCCGCATAGCTAGAGAAAGACAGATGTTTTTAAAATTTTTAATTTGCGAAGCTAGTTGAGTAAAATAATAATGTTTTGCTTCATATCTCATTGTCCACTGTGACAATAAAGGACCCGTTTGTTTTATAACATAAGAATAATGAGTCATAAAATGATGCTTCGGAATAAGCCTTTCATTTTGAAATATTTCACGAAATAGTTTATGATGCGCTATAACTCTGTCATTCAGAAGCTGCAAACTCGCCTGAGAGAATTTCCTACAAAATGCAAGACTCAAAATCTCCAAAAGTTGAAGTAAAAGTTCCCAATATTTTTTATGCTCCTCATCTAAAATTAAATCTCCAAGAATTACAGGCAAATGCCTGATTAAGCACCAAGCTTGTGCAGCTTTTTGCCCAATTCTATTACCTGTATCTAAACGAATTGGACTTGGACGGTTTTTACTTTCCAAATTACCGAAATTATGAGTAATTATCCTTTGGTTGACTATTTCCAAAGTACAACATCGTAATGAGATGAGCTTTTGCAAAACTAACTTAATTTCATAGGGCACGACCCCCTCTAATAAATCGTGCATAATATCTACACTGGGGGACTTGAGAAAATTGAAATATTTCAACTCATCAAGTGCACATGGACACCAAAAGTCTTGTCATGTAAATGTTTCGCGTAATTATTTCTATCCCTAAGAATCATTAAATTGTGATCAAACAAACTCTGGGTTTCTAATTTTGTGGTACAACAAATTCTACAAAAATTATGAGAATTGAAAGATTCTGTCATGCCTAACAAAGAGTTAACACCTAAATTGTCGCAAAATAAGCTGCATATTGTTCCATACATTGTCTCAGTTTCATTTGTTTGAATTCCATCGATTTCCAATATTTTAACGTCTCGAATAACTAGTTTTAAGATTTCGCCAATTCCATACTTTTTAGCATCTTCTGTATAAAATAAAGCAAGTAAGTAAATTTGACATAATTTTGAATTTAAGTAATCTGGCAAATTTTTTAAAGTAAAATATAACGCCCCTATTTTATGGATACCACGTTTTGAACCCAAAGGGTTAACAGTTTCAAAATCGTCATAAAACAGTTGAATTTGAAGGGAATCTGGAAATTTTGAGAACAATAAATTTCTTTTATAAGAGTTCGTGTCACTAAATGTTTCAATAGCGCTGGAATTAATTTTGTTGCTGTTTGCAAAATAATTGGAGACCACTTCAGAAGCAACAATTTGTTTTAAAGTTCTAAGTAGTGGAATACACATGAATGTATCTGAAACAATTACTTGTTGCCGCTTATTTTCCTTTACTCTTAATTCAGTTCTGCTACCTAAGGATATTTCTTTCGGCAAAATTATTTGGGAGTTTTTCTCAAATAATTTTTGTCT